TTTTGTAGACATTTGCATGTACAGAATGTTAATAATCTCTCAAACGTGAAAAGTACCTAGAAATGAATATTGGAGGGGAGGAAGTAACCTAGCCATACATGTGTGAAAAAAGGGAGTGAAGAGAGTTAAGAGTTCCTTTTTCCTTAGTGATTCTAAACTTTCTAAAATTGAAGAAATTTTCAAACTGAAATGAATTTTCCTTGTGACTTAGCAAGCATGGGAAAGAGAAAAAAAATAGTACAGTTTAAACCTCAGTACTTTCCAGTTAACCTTAGTGATTGGATTATGTTAAGTCTTAAATCCTGGGCTGGAGCAGTTAGAACTAAAGGAGAGAGGTCCTCTCAGATCAGGGATTATCTTGTCCTTAGCTTTACATCTTATCAGAAGAAGAAAAAGAATGAATCACTGTCTGCTTTATGGTCTACTGTAGGACATGTAGCTACTACAGAAAATGCTGCACAATAGAGAATATGACTATATTACTTTAGAAGAAGTGCACTCAACACATTCAATGAATTTACCCTCAGAAATAGTAGTTGTCTCATGATTTTTAATTTCTAATCTTAATATACATATATCTTTTATAAGTGTGTATACGTACATGTGTATGTGTATGATAAAAAATAAAGGAGTTTTATGAAATCAGAAAGTTGATGGATACCATATTCAATTCCCCTTCAATATATCTATGATGTCAGGAGTGTGGCTATTCCCTCCACCAAGACAGATTGCAATGCCTCTGTGTTTTAGTAAATGACCTTTAAGGGACTCTGGTCTAAAAAGTCCACGATGCTATAGCAAAGTAACTAATGAGCTTTTCTAAATTTAGCTAGATGCTATGCTAGTTAGCTGGTGCAGTAGATAAGAGTGCTGGATCTGAAGTCAGGAAGACCTGAATTTAAATCCACTCAAATACTAGCTATGTGAACCATGATTTGCCTCAGTTTCTTTATTTGCAAAATCAGGATAATATTACCACCTACCTCCCAGGGGTGTTATGAGAATAAAATGAGAATATTTGTAAAGTGCTTAGCACAATTAGTACATAGCAGGAACTATATAAATGTTAGCTATTATTATAATATTATTATCATTAGCTTGTTGGTCAGCTCATCTTCTTTTAGAAACAAATTTGCTTTGGATCAGTGATTTCATCAGTCTAGGAAACTCTGGGTATAGAAACTCCCTCCACTGTGCATAAAGTTGTTGATTTGGGTATGAAGAATTTAAGTGATTTGCCCAAGTTCACATAGCTAACTAGTATGTGTCAAAGATAAATGTCTCTATTCAAATCTCTATTCCTCCACCCTCCAAAGAAAATCTGCCAAGTAGGAAATGAAATAATGCTATTATCTTTTGATGCAGAAAGGTACTCATAATTATGCATGTAAACCAGTTTTCCTGACTCCAAAGACCAGACTTCTATACATTGCCCTAAAAATAATGTATAGTAACATTTCTGGCTAAATGCTGTACAGTAGAACTACAAAAATCTACATCTGTGTGCATGCATGCATCCATATATGTACATACATGTGTGTTCACACATATACACACCTGTGTATATATATATATATATATATATATATATACATATATATATACACACACACAATCTCCATCTTTTTGTACGATGTAAATGTAAAGTTTAATTGACAGGGTTATTGCTAGGTAGAGAGGAATAAAATATGATTCATTGTTTAGCAAGAAAATGCAATTGTTCATTTTCTTTCTTAGGATTATAGATTTAGGTTTAGAAGGGACCTTATGCACCATCTAGTACAATACCCTTATTTTACAGATGAATAAACTGAGCCCTAGAAATGAAGTGATCTTACCAAAGTCTCACAGGTAGTGAGGTGGAAGAGCCAGGATTTGAAAACAACTCCTTTGACTCTGAATTGAGGGTCCATTCTAGTAATTGCTGTTCAGTCATCTTTCAGTCACATCCAACTCTTTGTGACCCCATTTGGGGTTTTCTTGACAGAGACACTGGAATAGTTTGCGATCTCCTTCTCCAGTTTACTTTACAGATGAAGAAACTGAGGCAAACAAGATTAAGTCACTTGTTCAGGGTCACACAGCTAGTAAGTGCCTGACTGAATTTGGACCCAGGTCCTCCTGTCCCCAGGACCAGTACTCTATCCATTGCATGACCTAGCTGTCCTGCCATTTTCCAGAGTATCCAACTAATGCATGTTTCTCTAATTTCTAAGTTTAAGAGCAAACTTTTTTGATATAGACAGTATGGAGAAGTCAGTGGTAAGTTTATGGTTAAAAATCCTTTTAATGTTTAGGGTGAAATTTTAAATATTCCTCTTGCTCTGATGGGAAGTCATTATAATACTTTAATATTTGCTTTTATGGTGACATTGGCAAAGGACAGCACCTTCAATATGATAACAAACTTTAATGAAATATTGACTGCTACCAATTCTTTAACTACGTTGTAAAAAACATGACTTTAAGTGGTAAAGAGGTAGTTATTGGAAGATGTTATAAATTTGGACTGAAGTTTTATTGTTATGCTACATAAACTTGAGCAAGAAAGATAATTCTGGTCATTTAATAAGTATATTAAAATGTAATAGTAAGTGATTATTATAGTATTCAGCATTTTAAATGCTCTCAGAACTCCTTGAGGCAGGAACTATCTTTTGTTTCTTTTTGTATCTCCAACTTTTGGCATAGTGCCTGACACATAGTATGAACTTAATCAATGTTTATGGATCATTTGATTGATTGGTGAGGAAACTGAGGGCAAGAGAGATCAAGAAACTTTCCCAAAGGCTCACAGGTAACAAATAGCAGAGCTATGACTCTAGTATGACCCAGGCCTTTTGACCCCAGGTCAAGTATTGTTGTTGTTTCAACTATTGCGCAGTATTCAGAGTCACCAAAACCAGAGTTGCAAAGTAATAGTGATGATCCTAATAATAAGATTGAAGTGTTAAATCACAAAAAGGGCTTTTAAGCAAAAAAATTTTGGTAAGGGAAAAGTTGCTTACATAAATCTATTAAGCTGGATACCATAGAGGGCAGGTATATTGTAGATAAAAAGTTTAGCTCTAGAAACCTTGCAGTTCATACAAGGCAAACTCCAAGGAAGGAAGGAATAGGCAAAACAAACAAAACTCCCAAATAAACAATTATCCATGCCTCCAGCTGTATAAACACCAGTGTTTGAAGTATGTGTCACAAACAAGGTAAACTAGGAATTGTAATGCATGGAGGCAAATCTGACTCCTGATTAACACTGAGTCATGGTAAGCTAGAAGTCATGGTTGAAATGTGGCTCTGCAATAGTTAAATGACTCAAAAAGAAGGGAAAATAGGGGCAGCTAGGTGGTGTAGTGGATAGAGCACCAGCCCTGAAGTCAGGAGGACCTGAGTTCAAATCAGGCCTCAGAGCAGGTGCTTGACACTTACTAGCTGTGTGACCCAGGGCAAGTCACTTAACCCCAATTGCCTTTAAAGAAAAAAAGAGAGAGAAAATAGATCATAAGCCTAACATGTAGATATAACATAGTCTTGATCAGGTGTTTCAATTACATAGACATGTACTGTATTTCTATCTTCCCAAAGCTAGCAATTCCTTTGCTTGTCTTAATGATTTCTCTTTTTAAAAGATGGAAGAAACAAAGCAGTAAATTTATTCGCGATCTGATTGTGATAAACAACAGGGATTTGCTTCTGGGACAGAAATGGTGGTTGTTTGGGTAAAGTAAAATCACTGTCTGAGGATTTGTGATACAGTAGAGCAAGGGTCAGGAAACCATAGCCCAAAGGACTTTGGGCTGTGGTTTGCCAACTCTAGCAGTGGAAGAAAATTATATGAGATGTGAAGGGAAATAATTTCAATAAGGAGTAGAATGTGGGGAGAGAGGAGGTTCTAAAAATTTGTATTCACAGGGAAACCACCTGCCAATTCAAGTTTTTAAAAGATTTCTAAAGAGAAAAGCAAGGTAAATAATAGGAGATAGCTATAAAAGGCCTTGCGTAGTCTTGTAAGAATATTGTCAGGAATACTAACCATCAGGATAATCTGAAGCTAAAAAGGAAAGGTAAGGATTTTCTTTTTCAAAAATTATTTTTCTTTCTTATATCTATATTGGATCCAGGAAAGGGGGGATTAAAGAAGGAATAGGAATAATGCTCAGGGTGCATGGAATGATGACAATAGATGATAGGGAGACAGCAGAACTGCTTAAATTATGTTTTGGTCCTGTTTCCTCTGGCCAAGAGCATATTCTTTGGACTGGAAAGTAAAGAACAAAACTGGTTAATAAAAAGTTGATACCAATAAGTAAAAAGATAGTAAGAGAATACCTAACTGATCTTCGCAAGTTCTTATCACTTGTACCTATACTTACATACATATACACACACATATAAATATACAAATGTATATATATATATATATATATATATATACATTTGTATATTTATATGTGTATGTATGTATGTGTGTATACACAGACATATATACATGTGGGTGGGTGTGTATCCTGCCAATGAATTAGATAAAGGCATGCTGGTATTCTTATAAAATTTTCAAATGTTACAATGTTGGCAGGAATGTCATGCTGAAAAATCAAATGAATATTATATGAGCTGAATATAGTAGACATAAGTTTAATAGTAATAAACATAATGTTTTCCACTTGGGTTCAATAAATAAGCACTAAAGGACAAGTTGGGGAAGGTATTAGTTCGTTTGAAAAAAAGATCAGAAGCATTTAGTGGACTACAAAGGTAGCATGAGTCAACAGTTTGATGCTTTCAGGCATGGATAAGATAAAGGACTTTAAATTTTTGAAAGGCAGTCATGTTGAAAAGGGATTAAGCTTGCTTTACTTTTCCAAAGAGGGCATAACTAGGAATAACGCATGTAAGTTTAAAGGAGGAAAATATAAGTTTGATGAAAGGAAGAGGGAAAATGACTAACAAAGTTATTCAAAGATGAAATGGCTGCTTTGGAAGATGGTGGGCTCCTTACCTGAGTTCTTCAAGCAACAGCTGCTGTCCAATTTTCAGGCCTATTGTAGAGGATATTCTTGTTAGATCAGATGGCCATCGAGGTCCTCTCTAAATACAAGATTCTGTAGTTAAGATTACAGCTTACTTTATGAAAGGATGAAGAATATGAAAGTACTTCCATTTCCTAACAGTACATTCCTTTAAAATTTTACTTTAAATAATGTTTGATATGTGTTCTCTCCACAATTGTATAGAATTGTGATATTTGATTTTTGTAGATATCAGAGAATTATGGGGTCCTAGAATCATCCAAGGAGAAATGTAACATGTGACACTGATAATAATTTTCACTGGTTCAAGATGGAATGGAGCATGGTTAGATGGAAAACAGTCTGAAAAATTATCTGGAGGTTTTATTGGACTGCAAGTTACATCCATATGATGTCTTTGCTGATACAAAACCAAAAATAAAATTTACTAGTGATGAGGTCTGGAGGTTAGGGGTCCTGGAATCTCCAAATCACAACACATGGGTCCTGTCTGTAAGAATTCAACCCAAGCCTTCTTTCAGCCAAAAACAAGGTTTATTGAAGATTTGCCGCATTAGCTAGGCTCTTAAGGAATCTGAGCATCTGTGAGCTATTGGCTAGATTGTGAAAATCTGTGCAGTGGCTAGATTTTAGGAATCAGAGCACCTTCATGGAGCCAAAATGGACCTGATATACAGAAAGACTGTGGGAGGGATCTAGGAGTGGCCAAAGTAGTCTATGAGGTAATAGAATTCCAGGAAAGTGGAGCCTAGATAGGACCAAGGGTGGGAAGTGCCTGGGGCCAAGACCATGGAGGGCCAGGCTATGTCAAGGATAATAGAATTGGGGGATTGGGTGCAGCCAAAACTAAAGGCCAACTGAGGGAATCATTGCCTCAGGGGAATGCCAGATCAAGTGGGAGAATTCAAGGACAGTCCAAAGGTTTTCTAGGGCCCATAGACAAATGGGGCCCAAATTGGGACAAAGGTTTCACTTTGGGCCCATATCCTATCACTAAGACCTTGGGTAGCATTGAAAAGCATAGCTCCCAGAAATAAGGAGGCAAAAATGCTTCTATACTCTACCCTCACTGGACCTTCTCTACATTATTGTCCAGTTACAGACAGTTTAAGAATTACATTGATAAGTTGTCATTTAGAGGAGAGCAACAAGGATAGTTTAAATCCATGTCTTATGTCAATGAGTTAATGCAATTGAGAATGTTTAGCCTATAGAAGTCCAGACTCAGAGGGACCATGGTAGCTGTTATCAAGTATTTGTCAGTCAATCGATGACCAGCAATGGATAGAGTGAGGGGCATGGAGTCTTTTGTCTTCCTTAGTTCAAATCTGTCCTCAGACACTTATTATCTGTGTGACCCTGGGCAAGTCACTGAACCCTTTTTGTCTCAGTTTCCTCATCTGTAAAAAGATCTGGTAAAGGAAATAGCAAACTACTCCAGTATCTTTGCCAAGAAAACTCCAAATGGGGTCACTAAGAGTCCAACAAAACTGAACAACAACAAAGTGCCAGGCATTGTGCTAAACACCAGGAATACCAATACAAGGCATAAAGAAAGCCATTCTTAGCTCTCAAGGTGCTTCGATTTTAATATGAGAAGATACTAATGTAAGTGGAAGCTGAATGTAGGGGATGGAGAGGTAAAGAAACAAATGTACTATTGTTGGGGAAGAATTGTGGTAGAAAAAGCCCAGGGTGAGGCCTAGAGAGGAATGAGATGTGACTGGCCTGGACATCCTCATTAAAAGGATCTGGGCAGAACCATCCAATCAGAAGGACAGACCCAAGGGGCTGGAGGACTTGTAAAATGTGAACACCTGGGTTAGAGTGAGCATCCAGGATGATAGTTTTCTGAGGCATTGTAGATAAAAGTCCAGAATACAGCTTGAAGAGTTTAAAAGAGTGCTTAAAGACTAAAATGTAGATGAGGAATTAGATTCAGTCCTTTTGGTTACAGTGAGCTAAACCAGGAACAAAGGGAAAAAGAGTAGTGAGGGGAGTTGCAAAGAAGCAAATTTAGGATTGATGTGAAGACAAACATTATAACAATTAAAGCTGTCCCAAAGCGGAATAGGCTGCCTTGAAAGATGGTGACTTCCTTCTTATGGGAGGTCTTCAGAGGCTAGTTGACTAATGTCTGGTATTGTTGAGATCTAGGGGTCTTGGGACCCCAAAATACAAGGGCAAAGGGTGCAGCTCTGCCTGGAAAGAATTTGATCACTCAAGCTTTTTTTCAGTCAGAGACAAGGCTTATTGTGTCAGCAATACAAGAGGATAAGATTTTAAGAATCTTGGTAGGGACAAGACTAACTTTTTTTAAAGGGAAAAAAGATTGTGTTTGAATGGGATCAAGGAGTGGCAAATAGCCTGGAGTGACCTGGAGGTAACAGAGAAGGGGTCTCGATGGGATTAAGGGTGGGAAGTAGCCCCAGGTAGTCCAGAGGTGACAGACAATGAAGAGCTGGGCTGGGTTAAAGGTAGCAGAGAACTGAAGGTTGGGCTGGATCCTGGGCCACAATAAAAAGGACAGTAGAAAGGATTATTGAGTGTTTAGGTGGGGATGTATGGGAAAGTTCAGGAGCTCAGTTGCGTTTTTGGAGTCCAGATCCCAAGCCCTATCAGTATGTTATAGTTATGATTTCTTTCTGGTTTATGCCCAGCTATCTGGTCACTGCAGACTCTTCTAACTCTTGAATTCTGTAAAGAATGTTGCATTGAGGCAGCTAGGTGGTACAATGGATAGAGTACTTTAGACACTTAGTTGTGTGACCCTGGGCAAGTCATTTAACCTCTGCCTCAGTTTCTTCAGGTATAAAATGGGGATAACAACAGCATCTACCTTGCAGGATTGCTTTGAGGATCAAATGAGAGAATATTTTAAAAGAATGTGCCTAGCACATAGTAGGAGTTGTATAAATGATTATTTCCTTCCCTTTTCCCTCTCATCTCTGCATCATGATAAAGGATGAGTAACTTACTTTAACCTCTCAGTGTACCATATAAATTTTTGAGAGTATAAATTACATGTGAGTTGCCAAGTTGCGTTGGTGAAAGGAGTTTCTACAACTGGAAGTCATAGCTTTAAACCAAAAACCAAACACAAATCTGGCAGAATTAATGATGGAAACAAAGGCAGATGGTATACAATAGTTCCCATCAATGTCCCTATCTAAGTACAGTACCACCCCAATCAGGCCTCACAATCTGATTTACATGAACTGATCCTGACCTTTTTGATGCTTGTCATTAATGAGAACACTGAATAGCTTTTCTGTGGCTTTCCGGAATGCTTTTGGCACAGGATGCTGGCAGCCTAATGAACTCCCTTTTATTATTGCAGCTTGCTAATTCTCAAACTTATTTTCATTGTAAAACCTGTCAGTAAAATATATTTGGGAAAAAAAAATTAGAAAGCATGCCCCTGGGTGCCCAGAGAAAGAGAAAGTTTTTATTCTACTGTCTTTCTTTTTGACTTTTTGCTTGTAAATATTTGCAAATCAAAATTGTCCCTTGGGTACCTCTTCCTTCTTCCTGACAGGTGTGTTTGACCTTTGGAAAGTCCCCATTTCCCTGGGCACCAGTAGGTAGTGAAGAAGTTTTGCTTTTATGACCAATGATTAATTATGAACCAATTTAGCAACTAAAGGGATTATTTAGCACAGACCACTCCCATTCTTTGCCTCTCACTTGAACAATAATATTTACTACCCATAAAGTCAATTAAGTGACCTTTAAGTGTATTTTCCATTATTATGTTGGAATGAATTGATGAGGAAAGTAGCTCAGTCATGTAATGAGAACTTCAGTTTGTTCCCATTGATTTACCTTAAAGAAATTTCATTCTTTTAACTCTTTTTGCCCCAATAGAACAAGCTGCTAAATAAAATGATGGAAATTTCCTTTCTTGTTAAATTTTTTAATATTTAGTGATATCTTTGTTTTTCATTCCTCCTCCTTTTCCTATACAGTGAGTAGTCCCTTTTAACAAAAAGTAAAAAGATAAAGAAGAAAAAACTAAAATAGTTCAGCAAAACTAACAAACATTTCAACTGAGGCTAACAATATAGTAATGCCCCACATTTGTACTTCCCCACCCCATTTCTGCAAAAGAAGGGTGCATTTTCTTACTTTTTCTTGAAGGCCAAGGTTAGTTATTAAAATTTAGCAGTAGATAATTGTATAATAGCTAATAATAAGAACTAGCATTTACATAAACCCTTAAGATATGCACAGTGTATTATATTTATTATTTTACTGCATCCTCACAACAATTCTGTTAAGTTTAAGAAAATTGAGACTGAGAAAGAAATTTTAAGTGACTTACCAAAGGTAACACTTTTAATAAGTAAAGGAGGCAGTATTTGAATTCAGACCTTCCTGACTCCAGTTAAATTTAGGAAGAAAGAGGAAAAATCTAATATCTTGATGGTTTTTCCAGCTTACAAAAATGATGGAAAATGCTTAATTTTGTGGCCCTCAGCAAGAGTGACTAGGTCTGAAATTTCTAATTAGAATATTTCCTTTGTTCTGTCAAAACAGAAACACCATCAACGGAAAACTGCTTAAGAGAGTGGCCTTAAGTGAGCATCCCTGGGCCAGAGATCAGAGATGAGATTCCCTTGGGGTACTGCTCTATTCAATTCAATTCACTAAGCATTTATTAAGCAGCTACTTACTTACTACGTGCCAGCCCTCTTAAGGAGTTCTCATTCTTAAATTCTGTTTAGTGGGGGTGATCAGTGAGTGTGTGTCTGTGTGTCTGTGTATTTGGGGGAAGGATTCAGGAGTGGGAAACTTTCAGTTTGGCCCTTTGACTGAATCCAAACTTCACAGAACAAATCCCCTTAATAAAAGGATTTGTTCTCTAAAACTTGGACTCAGTCCACACCAAGGACCTAGAAAGCCACATGGCCTCCAGGTGGAAGGTTACCCACCCCTGGGATATACATGGATAAATACAGATATATAGTAATTAGGGGCTAGACATCCAGAACAAAGGGGATCAAGATAGGAATCTCATGTAGGAGGTGGCACTTGAGTTGAGCCTTGAACAGAGAAGGGAATTCCAAGGGCAGAATGGAGGAGGGGTCAAGCAATGGGGTACAGCCTATGCAAAAGCACAGAGGCCATAGATGGAATATAGGGAGCCCTAAATAGCCTAATTTGATAAGGATGCGGTAGACTCTGTAAAGAGGAGTCATTGTAGGAAGACAGGCTAGAACTGGATTGTGAATGTTTCAAAGGCCCTCTCTTAAAAGTGCTCCTGGCCTGAATAAGACTAAGTGTTGTAAACTCTCTTCCTCTTTTGCTTTCTCCCTTGTCCTATAGCCCTCTGAAAGTGAAAATCAAGAATATAAGCCACTGTTCCAAAGTAGGAGGCCTACCCACCAAAGCCCTTTTTATCAGACATTCCCACACAAAAGAATCCGAAAGGATCATGTAAAATGATGAGCAAAAAACGTTTTAGAATGGTAATAATTTAATCACTCTGTCCATTGAGTGTGAGTCATGCATGCTTCCAAGAATAGGCTTGCATCTTAACCCAAAGGATATTTGATTTTTCAAAGCAGTAATAGGGACATTACCATAAATTTAATTTTATTCAGTGAATAAAATGTGTATTATTATTTGGTGAATACCTAGGGATATTTTATTTGAGGGAATGATATATAATTGAAATGCCTTTTATGGGTACCCTTTTATTGCTTGATAAAAGCATACAACAAAATAGAATAACAATCCTTGTGCAGCATGATGCCAGGGACAGAAAGCTAGCCTGGGTACCTGAAAAAAACTAGCTTCTGGGAAAAAAAAAACTGCTTCTGAAATACGCTAGCTGTAGGACTATAGGGAAAGCACTTAATTTCTCTTACTGAGGAGCCCCAGGCAATCCCCTAAGACTGTTAGTTATAGAGAAGGTATTGATCTGCATTAGCTGGAAGTTTCTTCATTCTTCATTTCTTCATCACATCCTTCAGTTCTCTATACTGATGAAATTTTCACCAAAATTTATATATACATCTATCTAACATCAGTCATTTATTATCTAACATCTATGTATGTATGTATCTACTATCAATCACTTATCAACTATTAATATATCTATCATTATCATCATCTATCAGCACAATCAATTTATTTATCATCATCTATCTAATCTATCTTCTATCTGTCCATCTATCAATCCATCCATCTATTTATCCATCTATTTTATACGTAGTTTCAAAACATTTTCCTATTCATAAGCTTATTTCATATTCAAGACAACTGTGTGTTGTAATTATCTCCCCATTTCACAGATGAAGAAACTGGCTCAAAAAGATTTAGTGAGGTTTCTCTTCTTGATTCAAATACCCTCTTCTTTTTAACACTATACTTATGCTGAGTTGTCTTATCTCATTATGTCTCTCAGGTGCTTGTGGCTTATTTCATCTTCGTATCTCTAACACCTGGCATGGTTCTTTGCATAGAGTAGTAGGTGCTTAATAAATGTTTGGTGATTTACCCATGATAGCAAGAAAGTGACTGATCTGTGATTAAAAGGGTTAATGCATTTAGTCTAGTGCTTTGCCCATGGCTTCACACAGCCTTTCTGAATAAAAAAACCCCATAAAATAATCTATAAATTGGTTTTGTTTATTCTGCACATAGCATTGATATCTTGTTGGCACTGCTCCTCTGCTTACCTGAAAGACTATGACATTAATACATCTGACTCCTGAAATTTTTATTTTTTAAATTGGTTTCATAGGCATTCCACAATCAGGGTAAAACTTGATATCTTCTCTCCTTTTTTCATTATATTTGTATGGTCACTATAGATCTTATTATGACTTTTTTAAAGAAAGCCTCCAAGAAAAGTGAAGTGACTTGGCCATGGTCACAAAGCTTAGCAAGTATTGGAGGTATTATTTACATCTCTTTCTAGGGCCTCATTCTTTCACTGATTTTTAAAAAGGAAATAGAATAAATTTGATGTATTTGCTTTTTTTTCTGCAATAGTCATTTTGTAGCTGCAACAAAATGAGATTTACATTCAATATAAAGAGGTAATATGTTTACAGACTACCAGTACATACAATACATGTTTATCTCCCTGAAAAGTCTACCTAGCTTTGCATCTTTATGTTAAAAAAAAATGGGAATGGTGAGTGAAATCCTACTTTAGTGAAATGACTCAACCTTTCCAAAAGCAATTTCATGAATAAAGAAAAAAGGTATATGAAATACTGAATTACATTAAAAAATGCAATTGTTTTCTATTTGTCTTAACCCATCTTTCAAATACTTAAATATTTCAAACTATCCTCATATGGATCTATGATTTCATCAATATGGATATTTCCCAAGACAATACAGATCACATCACATCACATCCACATTAACTTATTTGTAACTTCCCAGTTGTCTGCCACTGGCGTCCAGCCAGCCAATATGATGAAGGCATTCCTTACCTTACATGTTATTTCTCTGCTTCTGCCTCTATCTGTATCTATCATCTTTAGCTCTAGCTTGGTCACTATCTCCATCTCAAACGCTATCCATATCGATACCCATATCTGTCTTTCTATATATCTCTGTACATATGTGTATCATATTGTACATATTATACATATATACAATTTATAATATATTACAAGTATTACATATAAATACATGTGTATACCCTCACTCATTAGAATGTAAGATTCTTCAGGGCAGAGACAGTCTTCTTTGCTTATGTTTATGTCCCCAGATCTTAGTACAGTGTCTAGCACATCCTAAGAGCTTAAGAAATGTTGGGTGGTTGTTGATGTTTTTTTGGTTTTCCTTAGTATGTGTATTCTCATGCCAGCTGTGTGATGCTGGGCAAGTCACTTAAGTTCTTAGTTACCCAGGCAACTAACTCTCTACAAGAGTAAGTTATAGGAGATATATTAATCATGATATCAGAAATTTCCCTACACTGATGAGATTACAAATCTGAATCAAAATGCCCTATAATTTGACCAAAAATAATATATTAAAATTTTACATATCATAATAAATTGTTTCAGCACAGAATTCTCTAATGCTCAATGAAATGTTTGTGGGTATTTAGTTATTTTTTTTTATTGTTTTTAACTGCAGAAACATGAAAGGGAGGGATAACAAAAGCCTGTCTTCTTTTTGGCTTGGAAATTTGCATGTCAGATAAAGCATAAATATTGTTTCAAAGATACAGTTATAATGACATCTAAATATACCCTTCTCAAAGACTACTATTTTCTGTTCCTTCTTCACGTTAACTGGATTTAAATATTTTAGTGACTACAAGCTATAATCCAAGTTGTTTTCACCACCATCTTCTACATTATTAAGTGCAATTGTTGTCTATCTGTGCTTGTTAAATTCTGATTTCATGAAAGATCTGAAAAAAGAAATTCCTAAAATACTTTTAAATGCTTACTGTTGACTTCTTCATTTTCTTAAACTCTCTATCACTTTAAAATAGGATAGGGAAATTGATTTGGTAAAATATTTTGTAGTAATGTAACATTTGAGATAGGAAACATGCATTTAGACATACTTTTTCCCCTGATTTAAAAAATCCAAGTTATTTCCAGATTCATTTGCACCAAACACATCAAAATGCAATTTTAAAAACTTGATGCATGTTCCAACCTTTAATATGCCTACTAAATATTTTTTCTCCCTTCAAATGAAGTAATCACACAAAAAAAATTGTGATGATATATCTAGGAGATGGGAAAAGTTTGAACAAGTTTCTCGGCTTAACTGTTGAAATTCAGACGTTCTCTAATTTCAGCAAAACCCATTCTACTGACTAGAATCTTGTTGAATTATCAAAGCACATCCCCTAAATGTAAGTACTTTATGAACTAAAATGGTATATAAATGTTAGCTAGTATCATTAGCTAGGGCTAGTCTTGGAGTCAGGAAGACCTGGGTTCAAGTGTAGACTCAGATACATAAAGGCTCCCTGAATTTTGGCAAATCATTTAACTTCTCAATGTCCCAGACAACTCTCTAAAACTATTAATCATGAGAAGTTTTCTACATAGGTGAAGAAGTTTCCACACTAGGAGTTCCCTGCACTAATGTGAATCTCAAGTCCCCTTTCCAGAAGTTGTTTTGTTTACCTAAATTGAGTTTGTGTATAATAAATAAATCATTTATCAAGCAGTTATGGATTATCTGGAGCTATAAGGTACCAAAAATTGTCTGATCCAGATTTGAACTTATATCTTCCTGACTCTATGTCCAGATTTCTATCCACTGTATTTCCAAGATGCCTCTAGAAAAACAAGACAGCTTTTTCTTGTTTCAGTTTAGTTCAATAAATTTTATTAAGTGACTACCTTGTGCTTGGTATAGTGCTAAGCACTGGAGATACTACGTCAAAAGACAGTTCTAAGCCCTCAATGATGTACAATTTAATGGAGGTAGGAGGGGACACACATAAGATGCAAACAAATATATATGCAAAGTAAGCTATATACAGAACAAATAGGAAATAATTAAAAGGGAAGGTATTGGAATTAAGAGGGGCTGGGGGAGGCTTCTTGCAAGAGGTGGGAGATTAGTTGGAATTTAAAGGAAGCCAGGCACCTAGAAAGCTGTAATACCTAATCCAGGCTCTACAACAAAACTTTTCAGATAATTCATAATGAGGTTTTTAAATGTGTAGTCCACAAATTTTATGCATCTTGTCAGACCTTATGTATTCATTCATTCATTTGGACAAAAACATTACTGAATATCTTCTATGTGTAAAACAATGTACTTGGAATATTAGGAAATGAAAGTAATAAATTAATAATAATAGTTCACACATCTTATAGATGGCAAGTGCTTTCTCAGAACATTTCTGTGAGAGTGTTATTAATCAATACAAAAACATTTATTAAGCACTGTGCTAAACTGGGCAATCTTCTATTATCCTGATTCCACATGTGTGACAGTTGAGACTCAAAGAAATAAAATGACTTACCAAGGCCCCAGAGCTAGTAAGTTACCGGTCTATGAATTCTATTTGAATCAAAATCTTCCCTAGAACAAATCAGAGAAGAGAGAAGATATAACAAATATATAAAATAACTCCAATAAGAGATATTTAATCAATCCGAACCTCAGGTATGAGTCTGAGGCACCATTAGACCTCAGCTCCTGCTGACTCCAGGCCCAACATTCCATCCACTGTACCACCTAGCTGCCACTCCTACCCCACCCCACAATTTATTTGGCATTTGACTTTGGGCAAGTAACTTAAACTTGCTGCGTTTTCAGTTTCCTCATCTATAAAATGAGAAGAGTGAAAATATGATCTCTAAGTTCTTTCTCATCTCTAAATTTATCATCCTAAGACCTTATGTGGTGATACAGAACTAATTTTGCTGCTCCAGGTTTTTCATCTAGGACGGATGTCATTTCTTTCATCACTCTTAGTACCTGAATAAAGAGCTACTCAATACATTTTGGTTTTTTAAAAGGTTCATAAAGTTATTTCCTTTTCCTTTTCATTTCTGTGATTTGATTTCCCACCCTAGGTCCCACTTAAACTTTATATCTTGAGATGCTGATTGCTGGCCTGCTTGGCAGTTACCAAAGTGTTTGATGACAGGAAACAAATAAGCAAACAAAATATATCAGGAAAATGAATGATCCCATATAATCTTGATTCTGGAGTAACTAACTCTTCCCTCCAGGGAAGAAATGGATCTTTCAGAACTCTTTATAGAGTGTTGGAGACTCCTTAGATATATACCCTCTCCCTTTTTAGCACCCAAATGAAACTAAAAACCTTGCCCATCAAAAACATCAAAAGATAAAACTGTAGGTGGAAGAATCATTTCAAATATGAATAAATTCCTATTCATGGTTCCACCTCATATGATTTAGTCATAATTGGATCACACACGGTTAGAGCATTTATTGGTCACCTACTGTATGCCAGGAACTATGCTAAGAACTTTGCAAATAGTATCTCTTATGAACTTCACAACAACCCTGGGAGGTAAGTGCTATTAATATTATAGTTGAGGAAACTGTGGTAGATAGAGGTCAAGTGACTTGCCCAGGGTCACACATCTAGCACTGAGTCACATATTAAGTCAATAAATGCTTGTTAATTAATTGATTGATAGTAACCGTAAGGAACAAAGATGATGTGTTTAGCAAGTCAACCTCACCTTATCATCCAAGACAGCTTTGTGATTCAGGATATAGATCACTAAACCTGGAAACAAGGAGACCTCAGTTCAAATCCAGCCTCAGACATTTACTAGCCATGTGAACCTGGACCAGTCACTTGATTTCCACCTGATTCAATTTCCTCAACTGTAAAATGGAGATAATAACAGCGTCTACCTCCTGGGTTGTTGTGAGGATCAAATAAGACAATATTTGTATAGTGCTTAATGTAGTGCCTGGCACATAGTAGGTGCTTAATAAATGTTAGATATTTTCTTGTAGGATTAATATCTATATTCTCCCCACCAAAAACTTCATGGAAGAAGGGGATCAAAATGCTAGATCTTTCTTACTGATCTTTTAACATTTCATACAACTGAAAAGTATATAGGCTATCCATTTGTTTCTTTCACTCTTCCTATATGATTGGTCCACCACTCTGTTAATGCATCTCTTTGCTATTATCTTTTATACCAATCTGTGAGCACAATTCATCCCCATCAGTATGCTGCAACCTGTTCATGCTTCTTTATTTTCCTTTCAATGTCTTTTTTTAATTTTCAGAGATTATAGTATTCTATGATCAGAACATTGATGTTTCGAAAAATGGTGGGATTTTGTTTCAAGGTAAACTTTGGATTCATTGAAAGTACTGCACAGTTTCTCAAAAGTGATCAAGCCTACTTGTTTCTTCTTACTCAAGGCTTGACTCAGGTTTTTCTCCATCCATGTGTCTGTCTAAGATATATTTACTTATTGACTGGTGCTATGATGTACTGTTTATCCAACTACATACGTATTCTAGTCTGGGCAATAGGCGTTTTTCATCTGTATCTTTCCCACATATGGATTATACCCCACCATAGATGTAAAACTGGAAGGAACCTCAGAGGTAATCTGGTCCAACTCCCATATTTTATATATAAGGAAACTCAGGTCCCAAGAATTAACTAACTTCTCCAAGGTCACACACATAGCAAATATCAGTGCAAGAATATGAACCTATGTACTCTGATGCCAAACAACACTCTTTCATCTGTACCATATTGATACATAGATAGTTAGGCTGAAAGATTTTGACAGATTGTTAATCTCATTTAGAAGAGTCTGCAATAGTCCCTGGATTGTTGTAATCCACAAAATGCCATCAGCATAAAGGAGTATTTGAAGGACCTGTCTTGTATAAGGCAGCCCTCTTCCATTTGTTATCTATACTTTTATGTCTTCCATGACAGTGGCAAATGTCTTTGGCAAGGGAATGTCTCACTAGTCTATGACCATCTAGTTATAAATAACCAGAGAATATGTTCTTAAAGAACTTATTTAATTTTTCCTCCATCAGGGAAACTAGCATGATTTTAGCACATAAATGGGTAAGAGAACTTTGATATCATATTTAGTTCTATCAGTCAAATGCTTCTGGGAAAATAATTTTTAAAATTAAGCACTAAAGAATCTTTTTTATGTATCTTTCAGTTAAATATGATTGGAAAAATGTGGTCTTCTAGAGAATACAAAAGTCTTCTGTTTTCAAAGATGCTCTTAATTCTGCAGATCTCCAACTTAAATTGTTGATTGCCCCCCAGTTGCTTAATTCTCTCAGTTTCCTATAGTGAATACTTTGAAGAGCAAGATGAGCATGCATAGCACTTGGTGATAGGTTTCTTGGCTTGGCTAAGTTTGCCTCCTCTTGTTTCCATGAGGATTACTTGAATATTGTAAATCACTTGCTATTCCAGTGGTAAAAAAAAAAAAAGAGGAAGATGCAGAGGATTATCTAGATTTCTGACCTCCCTAAAATAATCCTCTTCTGCTTCAATTATATAATATTTATATTTATAACCACATGAATAATCAACCTCCCAGGGAGAAACAAGGATGATGGTAAATTACTTCACAAATATCACAAAATCTTTCATAATAAGGAGGAAGGGAAATGCCATATTAAATATTTACCTTTCTCTACTAACGTGTAGCTAGAGGAAGTTAGTTCCCCAACTCCCCTCCCCACAAATATGAATTTACATGTTTCAGTAACTCATTCATCAATAATTATGATAGTGTTTCCATCTTACCTGGTTTTAGTTCAGGGCCGGCCCCAAGCAAAGTTGTAAAGTTAGCTAAATTTGTTTTCATTTTCTTTCTTTTTAAAAATCAGTTCACACACTCATATAAGCCTAAATCTTTACCTAGAGGCCATTATTTAAGGCTTATGCTCCCCCTCCATTGAAATTTATCTCTTCTAAAGCTCATTCACTTGACTTCAAGCAAGCCAAAGCTGCTAAATTAGTAGACTAAATTCTCATTGAAGTGAGAAAGACAGAGCAGAGCCTAGTGGATAAAAAAGCCAGAATAATCTGGGTTCAGATAATGCCTCTGACACATTGTAGTTGTGTGACGGTGGACAGGGCACTTAACTTCTCAGTGCTTAAAGCGACTCTCTCAGACTAAGTTACAGAGAAGTTACTGATGTGTGTTATTAGAGGGAACTTTCTTGCCTGAAACCTATGAAACCTTTCTTACCTGGACCTGTGAAATCATAGGTCCAGTCCCTATTACTATTCCCTATCATCATGGTAAAGATACAACACACACACACATACGCGCACACACACACACACACACACACACACACACACACACACACACACACACATACACGCAAACATCCGCACACACATATCCACACATTTTGCTGTGGCATTCTGGAAAAAATAGCTTACCATTTTTTCTATGAGATGGGAAGTCATTTAAGTCCTCATATCAGGAAATTGAATTGCAGTGGGCCCATTTTAGCACCATAGCTTCACCGTGAAGGAATTGATATGTCTAACATCTAGTGGCTGTTTACCCATTCTCTTCTACCTGTAATCTCCAGCATGGTGCTATTGAAAAGAATATCCATCTTAGAGGACCTGGGTTCAAGTCTTGGCCTTACTGTTCATTTCAGTCAATATCTCTGAGCCTCAATTTCTTCATTCATAAAATAGGAAGTTGGACTAGATGATTTGTGACGTCTCTACCAGTGATAATATATGATCTTATCTTTTTGTTAATTGTTGAAAGATTATTTCTCTCTCTCTTCCCCCCATGTGTATATATGTGTGTGTATGAAAGTATACATGTGTGTATATACACATATATACTTATATACATATATGTGTATGTATATTCCATATAAATTCCCCAATTAATATATAAATTCCCCAATTAATATAAATATTCACATTCATAATTGTCTTTAGGGATACAGTAGACTCCTTTCATCCTATTCAGAAATACCTTAGAATTCTATTTTATGGTTCACAATGCGCTGGTGCAGATGAGCCATTTATATACAGCCAAATTTGTATACCATGTTTGTTTTCTTTGAGTCAGACCAGTTCTTGGGAAATTTGCATCAAATAATTTCTCCTCAGTTGCATCAATCAATAATCATGTATGGCATGCTTTATGAATATTTTATCACCTTTGGATGATTTCCCTTTACTGCCCTCCCTCCCCCAACTATTGTCTTTAGTGGATTTAAGTAAGCAATCATTTTTTAAATAATGATTTCAAGCAGTGTTCCATTTAGTCACACTCAGGTGCCTTGACTTTACTTAACTTCCTCAAACCATTCAGGTTATTAATTATTGTATTCCCAGGGTAATTTGCTTTTTTAAAGCATTTTATTAGCTACGGGACCACATGCTAATTTTTTTTTCTATATGGAACTGAATGAAAAAGCAGAAGTCATAAGCTAAAAAATTAAGAATGTATTTTAGAAAATTAGAAAGTAGATGCATTTTTCATGAATGAATGACTAAAGCATTTATCATATATAAAGCAGTGTGCTAAGCACAGTAGGACGAAAACAT